CCTGGTTGAAGCATCAACAGGAGATGGTTTTAATTTTTCAGCAACTGGCATCTCCCAAGTTCCACAGACATCTCTTCCCCTGGGTAGTGAGCTCTCTCGACAACATCTCACCCTGATTCCATAACTTTGTAGTCATGTTTGCCTTAATGCCTAGTCCTGCTCATATGAAAATTGCATCTTATATTCTACTTTTGCTTCTCCCTTGACCTTCCCATTGCTTCCTGGCAGGCTTGCATTGATCCTGGGGCTTGGATGGAGTGTGTGTGTGTGTGTGTGTGTGTGTGTGTGTGTGTGTGTGAGTGCATGCTCTCCCTCATGCTCTTTCTTGCCCTCCCTCCCTCCCTGCTCTATTCCTTATTCCCCAATAAACTCTGTCATTGATGATCTTAATTCCAGGTCATGCCTCCAGGCAAGGACCAGTGTCCTATCTTCAAACCCAGGCCTGTGGCCAGAATTGAAATAGTTTGCTTCCCCTTTGGGAGGCAGAATATCACGGAGACCCCAGCTGCTGCTTTTCCTACCCGTTCCCCCATTCCAGCTGGCCCCAATGTTCTTCGTCTCTACCCTGCAGCTTGGGAAGCTCCATAGGCGCTGGGCTAAGCTGATAACCATAGGAAAGGAGCAGGAAGTCTGGGTGTTGCAGCGCCCCTACACTACGAAGAGCTGTTCTCTCAGGGGTCCTTTACCCTTGGTTCTGTTTAGAGGGAACAAGCAGAGAGTACCACTCTCCACAGGGTGGTGTGAAGGAGGGCAGAGCTGAGGGCCTTTCGTTACAACCCTCAGAAGTGGTTTCATCAAGGCCTGCTGGGGGCAGCTTTGGGCTCTCCACAGAGGGGTCTGGTGGCAGGTGGAAGAGGAAGAAGCTCTGCATTAAAGATGCTGCTGCAGGCTTGATTCCAAAATTATTTAGGGTGCAGAACACAGAACTGTATTAGTTTGCTAGAACTGCTGTGACAGGATACCTTAAGCTAGATGGTGTAATCAACAGAAATTTATTTTTTCACAGCTCTGGAGGCTGGGTGTTTAATATCAAAGTGTTGGCAGTGTTGGTTCTTCCTGGGTGCTGTGAGGAAGAATCTGTACCCAGGCTCTCCCCTGACTTCCCGTGATTCATGGGCCAACTTTAGGTTCCTAGGTTCTGAAGTTCATCCTCTCACTCTTTCCCTTGATGTTCCCATTGAATTCTTCTTGTTTATGTGTCTGTGGCCAAACCTTCCTTCTCTAGGGACATGAACCACATTGGATGAGTGTCACCAGTTGGCATAGATTTTTAGCTGTTTGCAAGATGGAAATTTGGGACAGGGAAGCTCTTCGGGGCTTCTCCGTTGCTGATGCCTTGCTGTTGTCTGTCCTTCTCTTCAAGGCCTTCTAAAGGGAAGGCCACATGGGCTTCCAGAATGGGCTCTTTGACAAATTTGAATGGAAGTCACGCATTGACAAGCTGTAGTAGCTCTTTGAGTATTAGCAGCCTCGAACCTTGAGTGCCAGTGGCTATCAGCTCTTAGTATTAGTGGCCCTTCTTTCTGCTCAGAGCCAGTAGTGCTGGCAGGCTCTGGGAATTCTTCTGGCCACCAGAGGTGGCGGCTCCTTGCATTTTGTCATCGCTCTCCATTGTTTTATGGCTGCTAGCTGCCTTCAGTGTTGCGGAACCAGGGATTGAACTCAGGCCCTTACGCTTGCCGTGCCTTCAGTGTTAGCAGTTCTGGCTGCTGGTTGCCTTTGGTGCCAGTACCCTTGAGTGTTACCTGCTCTCAGTGTACCAGCTCAGCGCGTTCTGCTTAAGATAGAAATCATGAATGGCAAGAGTGTGGGATTTGGAAGAGGCTTTACTAGGACTTGTGCTGCAGTGTAAGAGGGAATGGCAGAGGGACTTAGTCTGCCAAGGGTGTGGGGAGGTTGTTATATAGGAAAAGAGGTGGGCTGGCAGATGTGGGTATCAGCCTTTCTGTTTGCTCATGTGTAGGGCAGGGTCCTCTCTGGGCTCCATTCCATTCACTGAGAACTGGGCTGGAGCTGTGCCCTATCTTTTAAAATATATCTTTTTTTTTTCTTGCCTAAGGTTTATTTGTACAAAGAACACAGGAGGACACCAGGACTCCACAGATGGCACCCCAAGGGTCACACCAGTCCTTCTGCTTTTACATCAGCAGATAAGAGGCTCTTAACTGTGGAGCCTTCACAGGGGCCTGGGCACCTTTGGGAGCCTGGGCTGGAGGAGAAGCTGGAGCCTGGGCCTTGGCTGGTAAGGCCTGTGACCCTTGGCGATGCGGGCACGGATACACTTCCCAAACTTGGGGTGGGCAATATGGGCAAGTCGAATGAGCCTGAGGTTTACTCCCTTTGGGATGATCTTGGGCTTGACCTCCTTGGGCTTGACGATAGCCTCGGCATGTGCACTCATGGCCTTGGCATTGTTTGCTTGTGTCTTTTTGAAGCCCTTCTTGTTGTGTCTCTTGGCAAAATACGTTCCTAAGCAACTTGGGATCTACCCGCTTCAGAGATTCATAACTTTGTGACTAAGGTTTCTTGATGCTATTTCTGTGCCATTCTTGGGACTG